GCATCGAAGCGCTTAACTCGCAGCCTCGATGTTGTGTCACCAGATCCCTTATATGAATTAGGGGTACCGGCGCAGACGATACTGGCGTGGTTTACTGGCTCGGCCAGGCATTCAACCATGGCCGGATGACCAGAGCGGGTGTACAGCCGGGGCTCTGGCTGCTTGAGAAACCTTGGAACACCTGGAAGATGCGCTTCATCTGGTTGCACAAGGTCATCCTCGGGGTTGCTGTGATCTGCATGGGCGAGGAGGTGGTCGACAGAACAATGAGACAGGAGGGGGAGGAGAAGGAAGAGGGTGTTACGAAGAATGATAGCTTGGATTTGCATAAAGTCGGCCTGCAGCTCCTCAGGATGTAAATACTAATCTGCTTCTAGAGACAAGCAGGATGTGATGATAAAATAACACACAAATATACGTCCTGGCCTTGACGATGACAGTTTCGCTGTTGAGGACGCAAAATGGTTAATTATTTTCGTAGCGTGTCTAACAGATCCATGGCTCCCAACAAGACGCATGGACCTGTGGGCGATTGAGAAGGAAGACGGCACAAGCAGTACTCGCCAGTCATGTGAAGGGCAAAGCACAAATTCTATACTCAATTCATGACGGAGGCCAGCACATGCAGCTAAAGAGCCAGCCAATAAAACTTCGACCATGCAGAACAGCTGATTGCTCTCCTTCCTAATTGGCCAATCTAACCTGACCAATAAAAATTATGGATGACTTAAACAGAAAATAAATGTAGTGGCCTTTCGTTACCTCTATATCGGTTCGAAATTTAATGAGAATAATGAGTACCGGAGGTTGAATTTAGTACCTAGACTATACTTATGATTCGTTAAAACATTCTCTAAGCTGTTAGGCCCAAGGTTGGTTCTCATAAAGGTCAGAAATAAGAAAAATGCCTTAAAATAGGCTTAAGATATGTTTCCAAAGTAAATCAAGAAATTAGTATTCTGTTAGAAAAAATTCCAAGAATTTGCTCAAGAAAAAAATTTGAATAAACAGTTAAACACGATATGTGAAAGTGATGCAAAACATGCTTCG